TAATGAACAAGCAAGCTAGAAAGAGAAAGAAATATATATAGGGAGAGGAAGAAATGAAATATATAGACATAAAAAACGAAAAGATTTGATTGATTGATTGATTGATTTGTGGGGTTTAACGTCCCGAAACCACCATATGATTATGAGAGACGCCGTAGTGGAGGGCTCCGGAAACTTTGACTACCTGGGGTTCTTTAACGTGCACCCAAATATGAGTGCACGGGCCTACAACATTCCCGCCTCCATCGGAAATGCAGCCGCCGCAGCTGGGATTCGAACCAGCAATCTGCGGGTTGGCAGCCCAGTACCTTAGCCCCTAGACCACCGTGGCGGGGCAAAAGGAAGAAAAGAGAAACAGAAAGTAAAAAGGAGGAACGAGAAAACCCCATAGAGAAAGAAAGGCTGCCAAAATCCTCGCATTATCTACGCTTGGCTCCACTAGTAAGAAGATGCCTTAATCTTTCTTTCTAGTGTATCATTAATAAACTTACATTAATAAAACGCAAAACAGAGCGATGTAAAACAGAAAAAAAACAAGTTTATTAACCTTTTTTCGTGTTTTTTCTTTTTTTTTTCGCGCGTTTTGGTAATGGTTTATAAATACTCTTCCGTGAGAGGGAACAGAAGCTCAACAGACAGAACACAGGCCACGCCTCCTCGCGGCGGCCTCGAAGCACCGCGGGGCCGTGAAGTTGGTCCCGGAGATTTCCGTGTGCGTATCGCGGGGACGCACTCCGTCCGTCGCCATGTGCTCGTACGTGTGCGGTGACGTCACGATGACGTCTTACAGCACTGCGCTTTCGTTCAGGTTTCTCGGTAGACGCCTCAATGCAAGTCGGGCTGCGTAATCGGGCTGCACCAATCACCCAAGGAGGAGGGTATAGTTGCCGTATATCGCTCCATGTCACCTCCACTCTGAATCCTGGCCCGACAGGCAAAGGCGTGCGCAGGCTGAGGCTCCCCTCCAAATCATGTGAAGGCAATTTTTTTCATGAGTTTTTTCAGTCGCATCTTACAAGTTACTATTTTTTAATTCGAAGGGTTACGGCTACAGGTGTTTTTTTGGCGCTAATGACGGTCAACTACCTGCGGTGTTACATTAAAAAAAAAAAAAGCGTTCACTTCCCATCTCTTTCCCAGAAGGGCGAAAACCAATGGCAATCTTCTGTAAGATGTACGACGTCACTTCATTTTCATGTCTGCGGTCACTGTTTATCTTGTTTGTTTTCGAACTGGGCCAATAAACGAGTGAAGGGGTGCAGGCAAGAGTTTTCGTTTTGTTTTGTTTTGGCGAAAGGGGGGGGGGGCATTTATTTTATCTGAAGTGGAAGCCAGGTCAGCAGATGTGTCCATACGTCATTTGTGCTTTGTATGTCATGGTAAAAAAAATCGGAGATGGGGGGAGTGGGCACGGGCCTAGTGTACCGCCCCCTGGCTACGCCGCTGGGGCGGGGGAGTTACTGCAGTAAAGCTTGTCCCCCTTTCTCTTAACGGGGAACGCTGCGCACGCCTACGTCGATAAGTACAGCCTTCTTGATTATATTGGCGATATTATCTGCACATGAGCACAGGTAAACATATCTCTGTGTTTGCAGTTTTTCTTCCGGCTGTAATGGCAATATAAAACACAGAAGTGTTGAGGAGGGCTTGACTAAAGACGACGTCACGGCGGGCACCTGCCCTGACTCGCGCTCCTTTCTCTGAAAGCAGTAGCGCCATCACTCGTGAAGTCGAAGGGACAAACGTGCACCTTTGTGTACGAAAAAAAAGGAGCTGGCATAAGTACTGTGCTGACTTGTCTTTGAGGGCTTGTAGCTTTGAGCGCTTTATTCGAGAGATTGATGATTGATATGTGGGGTTTAACGTCCCAAAACCACTATATGATTATGAGAGACGCCGTAGTGGAGGGCTCCGGAAATTTAGACCACCTGGGGTTCATTAACGTGCGCCCAAATCTGAGCACACGGGCCTACAACATTTCCGCCTCCATCGGAAATGCAGCCGCCGCAGCCGGGATATATCCGAGAGATATGGACTGGTGCATTTCTAGGTAATAATAATTCGGGAAAGCCGATATTTTGGTGCATGCCGGTATCTTGGAGTGACGGTCGCCAGACGAAGATTTTAAGCAGGAACATTCTTTTTTAAGAAGTTACCCACGGGTGGGAACAGTCCTGTAATGTGGAAATATATGAGCGCACAAAGTAGAAAGAAAAGGACTTGACAGGAAATACGCTCACCTACAACGGAACTTTTATTAGAAAACATTCATTGCACGAGAACACAAGCGCGCAGGCGCAACCAACTATCATTTCAAGGGGCCACACTCCCCTCCCAAATATTTTGGGGGAGAGGGTGTGTGGAACCTTGGAGTGATAGTTGGTTGCGCCTGCGCGCTTGTGTTCTCGTGCAATCAATGTTTTCTAATAAAAGTTCCGTTGTAAGTGAGCGTCTTTCCTGTCAAGTCCTTTTCTTTCTACTTTGTGCACCCATATATTTCCACATTATGTTGTACCAACTGGCCCAGCATACCACTTTATTGAACAGTCCTGTATGTGAGCAACAAAGTCGACAAATGTGTCAGCAAGTGTGAGCAACTGTGTCTTCGTTTTTCGCTATGTTCCATTTTATCATGCAAATATCATGCATTTTGTCGTGCCTTTTTTAACGTTACGATGACATGACAATGCCAAATCACCCGCTTAAAATTTGTCACCGGCCCTTGCCGCCCTTTTGAAGTCTACCGAGAATCCTTACAGAAAGAAAAAAAGCCACTTAGATAACAGATGAAGAAAAAAAAAAGCCACTTGTGCATTTAGCTTGATCGCAACATCACTTTTGTCCCGGATCAGAGGCAAGCAACTAAATTAATGAGCGCGTCAGTTTAGATCATCAAAGACAGAAACTTTGAAAGGCCATAGCAGTGTCTCTGGCCCACAGCTGTCGACAAAGTGCTTTCCTGTTATCTATGGGGCGATGTAATCAGAAAAGGGTGGCTTCGCACATCCGGTCTGGCCGCTTGGCTGCACAGAAGGTATAATATCACTGAACGCACACACATTGTTCGCAGTTCGTAGATCACCACTGTCGGTCAGAAGTGTCACGCTGGCGCGTGCTCCAACGACGAGTCACGTGGGCTCTTCGGAGTCGCTTCCAATCGCCTCGGCGAAGCAGAATAACACGTACCGACGAAAATGTGACGCTCCGTTCTTCGAGATGCGGAGCGCCATCTGTTGCCGCTTCTTTGCTCACCGCTGTACAGGCGTCGACAATTTCTGTAATCGCTGTTCGCGAAAAAAAAAAAAAAAGCGAGCGCGTGGGCACAGATTTCACTGGGGGAAAAACAGCTTTAAGTGAATCACTACGACTTCAATATTGCGTTGAGTTATGGCGCAGTGGTTCTAGTCGTTCTGAGAGCGATACATTTTGTTTTGTCATCTCTTCAGTGTTTTTTTTTTTCTTTCTCAAACGACAACAGCATTCAACGTTAACGCTACGGGAAACGAAGTCGGAAAGCTGCACAACTTGGCACAGCCAGTGCCGCATTTAAACGCCGATCATCACTGCAATAATGAAGTGCGTCACGATGCGCGACATGACGGAACCTGTACGTATCTTTTCTTCACGTTAAACGTAACGTTTTTCTCTGTACAGAAATTAAGTATGGAATGTTGTGTGGAATGTGCGTAGAAAGACATTTCTTAGCGGTGGTGTACCCGTCTCGCTAATTTGTGCTGCCCATCATGCCGTTGTATGAAAACTACAGTCTGAACACTGGGTGCACTGGAGAACCGTTAAGTACTTCTTCCTCCAAGTTCATAGTATGTGCTATGCATTGAAACATGCTAATCCTTTTGATGTGGTCCCTTCAAGGTGCCTCTTATTGGACGTCTCAGAAAAAGAAGGGGCGTGAAGAGCTGATGCTTTTAACCATTTTCTTCACGCATTGAAAATGGTCAGCGATTTGTAGTAGAGTGAAACGAGAACTTCTCTGTTCTCGTCAGTCTCTGACGCTGTCTTCTCCTAGCGGCATCTCGAAGTTTACCTCAGCCTTTGGAGACACCGTGTGCTAGAGATTAGCAACTGATAAGCCGAGCGCTTACGGATGAAGTGCCAACACTCATGAAATGGCGGCTGTGAGGCAGCCAAGAGCACGCGATAACAATATAACAAGAATATATTCGTGCTTTCCTGTGCGTCCGTATAACTTTGAAAGATGGCTCGTAAAGCAATACATTCCTGGCTAGTCAAAAGGACGAACTCGTATGTTCACCACATTTTTAGTTCCTACTTGAAAGACAAAACTCGACATAACTTGTGGACTTGCCCTTCATGGAATGAGCTCACCTGCGGACTACGAAAAAACACCTGTACATATAATTAGCGGCCAGCACGCGCTATCATTACGCGTCGGGCTGTCGCCAGGTCGCACACATGTCCCTATATAAGCAAAATGTCCGGGCGTCAGACATGTTCACAGCAAGCAAGGTCAAAAACTCTGTCGTCCCGCGCTATTGGCACTCGATTCCGCGGCTCTCTCTGTGTGTGTGTGTATTCGCCGTGTTCGAATACCTTGCCTCGCCTCGCCGCCTTGTGGGCTGTGAACACTTCTAAGCGCCGACTACGTTACTGCATCGTAACGCCATCTTTCGCGACATCCGTCAACGCATACCACCTGTTCCGACGCGCGTACCGGTTACTCCGAAGCACTTTTTTTTTTCTTGCGGTACGCCTCGGAAGTGCAGCGTTGAAAGTCCTTTCCGTGTATAACACATGCGCGGACACCATGGTGTTCGAGCAGTTCAACAACGTCCGTAAAACAAGTATAAAAACAAAAACAACGAGGAGGACTCCATCGGAGCCTCAGAACACTGCAATCTTCTGACTGTGGGCCTTTCGTGCACGGGGTCTGCGCACGTAACGGATCTCGGAGGACGTCCTCTCCACTGGCAACAGGCAGGACCGCCTTGTCTGCGCCCTGTGCGCCTCCTCTCCCGCGCTTTTTGGTGGTTGAGGTTTGTTCGCCCTGGGTGGTGGTGCGTCACATCACAGGCTGTCTTGTTTAGGAGCAGTAGAGGCTCTGCGAGTAGCAGCAGTGCCTCTGGATGTAGCCGTGGTTGCAGTAGCGGTTGCCGAATTGCTCCAGGAACTGGGAACACGTCATGCGGCCGGCGATCAGCTCCGTGCTGTCTCCGACGCAGCCTGCGCGAATGCACATTTTATTGAAGACATTCAGTTCACTAATCACTTTACTTGCCTAGAGTAACGCGACAAGATACAATTATCTGAACTACAAATTGTCATGACTAGCCACGACCAGTTAACCTACGTTGCACGACATGTTAGACCTGGTGGTCGGACCTTCAAAACAGCGTGTTGTCGTACTGTGGTTAGTCCATTATCTGTCCGATATTGGCCTTGTCGAAACGCTAAAATGATGGAATATTTGACACATTACAGCCTTAACTTACTTAACACCCCAGCTTTGGATATTTTTATTGAGTTCACTTGCAAGTTTTATATTTGTTTATATTATATTTATTAATCCTTTCTTTGCTCCCTTTCTCAAATAATTTATACCATTTCCCATCCTTATACAGAGTAGCATGCCAGCGGTATATACACGCCGGCAAAAATTTTTTTTCTAAGAAATCTTTCTCATGTCCTTTTCATAGCCATATTTCCCCATCTCACTGGAGGGTAGCGAACCGGATTATAATATCTGGTTAACCCTCCCGGCTTGGTCACCTGACTCCCCGAAACGAATGCGGGGACGCTGTCTTCTGTGGAGCACTTGGCTGCAACTCAAACCCAGGTCTACTTGTCAGCTGAAAACCCTGCAAACTAGAAATGGTCTGCTGCACAATTTGTCGTTAATAAGTCCAACGCGTGCAATGCAACTCTTTAGCCAGATCGTAGGTTGAAAGCATAAAAAAAAAGGTCTTCTATCCTATCCTGCAGGATTGAATAACAACGCATTACAGTTTTTTTCGCAATCTTCTTGCTTTTTTTCGCTCGTGTCGGAAGTGTATTTAGTATTTTACGCGTGCATTGGCTACATCGTTATTATAATATTACAATGGAAATTGTGGTATGGATAACCAAAACCTATGGGAATTGAGATGTGTAGCATATAAGTACGTGAGTGTATCGTCTTGCATAAACATATGCATCTGTCTATTCAACTTTGAGAAATACGATTCTAGTAGAGCCCTGTGTGAGAGTTTCGTTGTTCTACTGGTGGTCACAGCCATGAGGTATGACTAATGGTTTTCTTGGTGAAAGAACACGCCAGTTCTAAGCCAGCACGTTGTCATGACAAGTGTGCCGCGCCCTAGACTTGACGCAGTGCTGCGACGATGACCATTTCTTGAGGCGTGTTGTGATTTAACCTCGCTCGCTCGCTCGCTCACTCACTCACTCACTCACTCACTCACTCACTCACTCACTCACTCACTCACTCACTCACTCACTCACTCACTCACTCACTCACACACACACACACACACACACACACACACACACACACACACACACACACACACACACACACACACACACACACACACACACACACACACACACACACACACACACACACACACACACCTGTTTGTGCTTTCTTCCTTCTTGTGCGTGTTCTTTTTTTGTGCAAAATTTAATCTAGAATGCAATAAATACGAACTCTCGGGTCTTCAGTATGTTCATGCGGTCACGTCGACAAGGCGTTATCTGTTTCAAAAGGGGGAACATTTACAGCTGCGACTACATTTTATTCACACTGCAGAAAAGAAGGCCTCACTAAAGGCTGAGGTTCGAAAATATTTCTAGGCTATCTTTGCATTGCGTTGGGCAGCCTTCCTCGTGGAATATGGAGGCTCCACGACGCGCTGCAGGGATACCCGAGGAATACTTGCGAGCTTCAGCTTCCGTTCAAGCTTTCGGGAGGCTGAGCCGTGCCCCCGCGACGGAAGGCAGAAAATAGCGTACTTTTTATATTTTCATCTTTCATTAACCTCTTTCTTCCCGACGCACTGTGCTCGGAGGCAGCTTTGCAGCTGCTGTGGCACTTGTCACGTGATCAAAAAGGGTAGTGGCAAGCATTGGGCAGGGCGGAGCTTACGTGCCTCGACGTCGCTACAAGCGTCTCAGTACGTAGACCGCACCTACCGCTGTTTACAAACATGCAATAGGTCTTTATCAATACGGTTGACAGAACCGCGGTGTCACAATCCCTGATGAAATTTACCGGGACGTTCACGTTTAGAACCAAAGGCCAGCGACACAAGCATTCGCCTAGGTGGAAAGGCCAACACACTCGAGAAGTGCTCGACTTCAAGAGAACGAGTAAGCGTTATTGGATGAAGCATTTATGAGGATTAACTGTGGGAGGAGCCGTAATGGTCTTGGTATAGGTGACATTTGTTTGTACGTTTTACCTACAAAAAAGCGCGAAAAAACAGCTAAGAACACAGAAGGCGCACACACAAGCGCAGACTAGCAACTGATAGCTTATTGAAGAAAACACAAATATAAATAGCAAGAAATGAGTTAAAATATTAGTGGTTGGCAGTTAGATAAGCTATCTCTAGTTGGTGCAATATGACCGAAGGCCTCGCGACACACGTGTGGCCATACTTTTGGATATATGCCTCAGCAACGTCTCTCATTGTCCTATTTCTGTGCCGGGACAACAGCTTTGTATCGCGAAGTAAAGGGTGACACTTGCAATCTGTGCAATGTAGGCACCGATTCGACGAAGGGTGGGCTTTCAGAGATGCCCTGTCATCCATTAGACGGTTATTCAAACACCTTCCGGTTTGCCCCATGTAGCACTTACCGCATGACAAGGGGATGAGATATACCGCATTCGAAAATATACCGCAACTAGAGATAGATTATTTGACTGCCAACCTCTAATCTCTTATGTCATTTCTTGCTATTTATATTTTCTTAAATAAGCTTCCAGTTGCTGGTCTGCGCTTGTGCATGTGCCTTCTGTGTTATTGTCCTCTTTTTCGCGCAGTTTTGATTGATTGATTTGTGGGGTTTTAACGTCCCAAAACCACTATATGATTATGAGAGACGCCGTAGTGGAGGGCTCCGGAAATTTTGACCACCTGGGGTTCTTTAACGTGCGCCCAAATCTGAGCACACGGGCCTACAACATTTCCGCCTCCATCGGAAATGCAGCCGCCGCAGCCGGGAATCGAACCCGCGACCTGCGGGTCAGCAGCCGAGTACCTTAGCCACTAGACCACCGCGGCGGGGCTTCGCGCAGTTTTCGTAGTTATGGATTACCAACTCACCCAGCGTTCAGTCCTTTTAAGTTTTAATCTAGCATAAGCGAGCTAACACTTCGAAATAGTTATCTTTCGCCGCTAATCAGCACCAGTCACAAGTGGCTGACAGGTCGCTTCCTAGCATTAGAGGTAATAGTGCAGTGAAGCCACCCTGCTGGTGAGACGCGGCGCGAATAATATCAGCATGGCATTCGCCTTTCATTGAGGTACGCAATCCCCGTGGCAGATAATAAAACAGATGGGGTGCTTGCACAACTATCTTTTAACAGAAACTTTTTGTGGGCCTCGATGGCCTCACGCATTATTTGGTTACTGCTAATGGTTAACATGCCACATTTACTCTATTACGTGGTTTACCCTACAATTAATGCTCGCATTCGAGCTCTTCGTTTGTCTTGGCTGATCCATAATATTTGAAAGCTATTTGTTATTGTTGAGGCTATATTTCTGCTCTAACATATGGCAAAATGGGGAGTTGAAGCCTAACACGCGCATGAAGCTGTCAGCTCATTGCTTTTCACACGTTCTTCGAAGTGGTTTTGAAAGAGAGAAAAGGAAGAGAAAAGCGCGCCGCCGTAATTTTCTCTCCTCACAGGGGAGGCTCTTTTTTGAAGTTTTTTTTATATTTTTTTCTCGTCGTAGCCAATGCCTTTCCATCTCCTTACTGTAGCAAACTAATATATATATATATATATATATATATATATATATATATATATATATATATATATATATATATATATATATATATATATATATATATATACAAGTTAGTCTTGGGTGCTAAGCTGTTTTTGGTTATTCTTTTTCTACTGCGAGACCCTTGTGCCATTAACATTTCCATTCTCACCTAGTTTTCGTTTTTTGGCCAGACGAGAAGCTCACTATTGCGCTCTTGTTATAGCCTTCTTGTGTGGGAGTAAAGGAGCGTCTCTAAAAGGATGTGCAATGGTTTAAGAGCCCTGGAAATGATGTGTTCGTGCAGGAGTGTTAGGCATCGTGGGTGAAGTTGATTCTTTCATTCCGTTTAGAGTCATCGCGCATGTCTTGTTTATCCTTATTCAGATCTGCTAGCATTCGCACAGTTTTTTAAGTAAAGAATGAATTATGCGAACGTCGAGACTCGAAGCAGATGAGGATAAGCAACACTGCACACAGGACTGGCGCTGACTACCAACTGATTTCATTCGTTGTCGAACAGAGGCATTCACTATATCACTAAAACCACCGGAACATGCGCATCAGCATCAGCACCAACACATGAAAAACTCTTTCATGCGCATGCTGACAACCTTTCTAGATATAGTATCATGCTGTGGTAAGTATTTGTTGAAGAATTTCTCAGAAATCAATAAAGATTATGAGCATGTCCATGTAAGATTTTTTGTGTGTTTTGGTAGCGATGCTGGCGCGCTTGTTCCTATGGTGCGGTTATTTATAGCAAATGCTCTTGTTCGGTAACGAATAAAATCATTTGGCAGTTGTCACCCCTCGTATTGTTCTTGTTCCAACGGCGTCTACATATTTGCATAAGTCTACACGAGCAACTGTGAACGCCGCCGGCATCAAGCGTACAGTTGCTCAAAGCTCTAGCTTCGCTAGGAAGTAAATCATCGCTTGCATTAGCAGCCGACTAAATTTTGTCGATCGTCACTCGCCGGTGCTGTTGCACTCTTGAGTCACAGTGAGTGAACAGCGGCATAGACTTATCGAGTCGGTCTGTGCGCACCTTTGTCGTTGGCCACCAGTGCGCGCGGTTTTCTCGTGGTGCGCGGGTGGTGGGCGGGCCTCAGGTGCTGCGGGTGCCGGGCTCGGCTCACGGTCGGGTGGTGCGACGGCGGAGGCGGCGGGGGCGCCGGCATCAGGTGCGGCCGCGGTCCGTCCACCACCTCGGCCGAGAAGTCGGCCCGTCGTCGCGCCACGTCGCCTCCCCGTCCTCCCACCGAGCGGCCGCTGGCGAACGACGGCGTCACGTGGGTGTAGTCCGGGATGATGTTCTCGATCTCGGCAATGCAGCGGCCGTTCTTGCACGTCTGCATCGAACAAGGTGGATGTTAAGGGACAGATAGGTAAACCTCTTGTTCAGCAGTGCACACACTAGTCGGGGCAACTCCTATAGTCTACTATTTCTCTTTCCAATTCATACACATCATAATTATCATGATCTTGTGTGCGCCCTCTGAAGGACAAACAAAGGCTTTTCTCATGTTCCGCCAACCAATCCGGTCCCAAGCTTGCTGCGGTCTCGTTATCCTTGCAATGTCAATCTAAATTGCCCACCCAATGTTCTAAAAACATTTATTTTTCAAAACGGTGACTTGGCAATGAAACAACAATACATTGAAACCCGAAATATGTCAATCTAATTTGCCCACATAATTCTCTAAAATCATATATTTATCAAAACGGTGACTTAGCAATGAAACAACAATACCTTGAACCCCAAAATATGTATACTTATTCTGTTTTTCCTTCTATATATTAACGCGCAAATGCAGTGAAGTATGGTTGTTATATAGCCAGCGCCGTGTTGGTGTCCTCTCGTCTTCGTCCAGTTCTAGCGCTGTTCCTCCGTTTACCATCGGTATGTACTAGAGATGTGCGCGAGCTCCAAGTAGTCCGAAATCCCTAGTCCGGCCGAGCCCTTTCCGCTGGACGGTTCATCACGCTGTCTTGCCGTTGTCGTTAACAACTAATAAACCTCTTCACATTTGGTGGAGGGTGCTGTTTATCCCCGTCGCTACACCCTGGAGCTGCGAAGCCGCACGCTACAGCCCGTCATGACTGACAACGCCAACACATCGGCGTCGTCGCCCCAGTTCAACTGTCCCGGCCATCCTAGGCTACGGGACCCGAAGGTCTTCAGCGGTGCGGATGGGACCGACGTGGAAGACTGGCTCGACCACTACGAGCTGGTGAGCGCCAATAACAAGTGGGATGAAGCCGACAAGCTGGGCCACGTCATATTTTATCTCACTGGCGTCGCAGAATTGTGGTTTAACAAGCACAAACGCAACATTTTCACATGGAGCGTATTCAAGACGTCATGTGCCGAAGTGTTCGGTCGGCCGGCCGTCCGCAAGCAGCGAGCAGAACAGTGCTTGCGCGTCCGCTCTCAGCAGACTGGAGAAAATTTTACCAGCTATATTGAGGATGTCGTCGACCTTTGTCGACGCGCGAATGACACCATGCCCGAGTCGGACAAGGTCAAACACATCCTGAAGGGCATCGACGATGGCGCATTTCAAATGCTCTTGGCTAGGAATCCAAGCACAGTTTCTGAAGTCGTCAGCTTGTGTCAGAGCTACGACGAGTTGAAGAAGCAACGCACTCTGACTCTGCAGTCTCAGCCTGGTGGTGAGCCGCTGTCCAGTTTCGACTCCATGCCTGACAATTCACTATTGCTTCAGCAAGTCCGAGCTTTTGTCCGTGAGGAAGTCGCCCGCCAACTTTCCCTAGTGCCCTTTACTCACGAGACCACCACCCGTCTACCTGGCCCGCTTCGCACTGCTATATCGGAAGAGGTTGCACAAGCTGTTCCTCTTGCGCACTGAGAGCCACCTCGATCTAGCCGTGGTCACTGCCCGTGTGTCGCACAGCCGGTAGGCGCTCCTGTCGCCTATACGCCAGCCGTTCAGCCTGTGGCCGCGCCCCTAACCTATGCAGCGCAGCCTGTGGCTCCTCCTGTCGCCTTTTCGCAAGAGATGCAGCCCGTAGCCGCGCCGCTCACATATGCAGACGCTGTACGTAGGCTCCCACAACCACCCTACACCACGCGCTCACAGCCCGCACACCCGGCTGCTTATACTGCACCTTGGGCGGCAGCACCAGTCGCCAATCCCTGGAGGACGCCCGATAACCGACCGATTTGCTACGCTTGCTTCACTCCCGGACACGTTGCTCGCTACTGCCGCCGTCGACCTCAGACGTTCGGCAACTATGCCCGGTCGTCGCATCCCGGCAGCCAACCCTTCGTCCAATACGGGCCGGTCTCGCCACCTCGCTATGCCCCTACTGACCACCTTGACTTCCAGCCGCAACGCGCACCCTCTCCTCGTCGGCGATCGCCCTCCCCCATGCGTCGCCGGCCCGGACCCTCCGACCAGGAAAACTAAGCACCGCAGTTCAAGAGGCAAGAACTGCGCCGTTTTCGAACTGTCTAAGCCCTCGCTCCTCTCCTGCTAACGTGGTCGCAGTAACTGTTGAATGTTATTGTACTTTCGCCCTTGTGGACACTGGCGCCGCTGTTTCAGTTATTGCCGCTAATCTCTGCCGTTTATTACGCAAAGTAACGACGCCGCTTTCGGGACTGTCGCTTCACACCGCAGGCGCACAGCAAGTAACGCCTCTCGCAGCCTGCACTGCAAGAGTCTCCATCGAAGGAATTCTTTACATCGTGGAGTTTATTGTTCTCCCTGTCTGTTCGCATGACGTCATCCTCGGGTGGGACTTCCTATCCCGCCATAATGCCGTCATAGACTGCGCACGCGCCGAAGTTGAGTTTTCACCCTTGTGTCATGTCCCATTACTGGACGCTCTTCATCAGCCGCCGAAGTTGCTCATTCATGAAGATACCGATATTCCGCCTGGAAATTTCGCACTTGTTCCCGTTTCATGCAACACCTACACTGACGCTACAGACCTTTTTATGCCTTCCGATATCTTCAAATGTCGTGGAGCTTTGCCGCTGCCTTTCGCAACAATTGACCTTGCCGCCGGAAGAAGCAACATGTTCGTAAGTAATCCGCTTTCCACACCTGTCACTTTGCTTGCGGGGGAATGTCTCAGCCGCGTGCAGGATCTCGACCCTTCGTTTTTGGTTGATGTCCCGGATGACTACTGCGACCACCCAAAAGCACTGTTGGCACTCGGGGAGTCGTCCAATGATACGTTTTCCAGCGCCATCGCCGACACTCTCACTCCCACCGAACATGCCGACCTGCTGGATCTTCTGCATGAGTTCAGGAGTTCTTTCGATGAGTCGCAACCTCAACTGGGCCGCAAATCACAAGTCAAACATCATGTTGACACCGGCCTACACCAGCCCCTGCGTCAAAGACCATACCGTGCCTCCACTGAAGAGCGCCGCGTCATCAACGATCAAGCCGAAGATATGCTTCGTAGAGACGTCATTCGACCATCTTAAAGTCCCTGGGCGTCTCCCGTCGTACTGGCGCGTAAGAAAGACGGATATATTCGATTTTGCGTGGACTATCGTCGTTTGAATAAGATAACCAGCAAGGACGTCTATCCTTTGCCGCGCATTGATGACGCCATTGACACCCTTCACGGAGCGGAATTTTTCTCGTCGCTAGATTTGCGGTCTGGCTACTGGCAGGTCCCAATGGCTGAAGCCGATCGCCAAAAAACGGCATTTATTACACCAGACGGACTATATGAATTTAACATCATGCCCTTTGGGCTTTGTAACGCGCCTGCCACGTTTGAACGTCTTATGGATAATACGCTACGTGGCCTCAAATGGAATATGTGCCTCTGTTACCTCGACAATGTCGTGGTTTTCTCCCATGACTTTCCTACGCACCTCCTTCGCCTCAGGCACGTTTTGACTTGTCTGACCAACGCTGGTCTGCAGCTTAACCTGAAAAAATGCCGCTTCGCTGCACGCGAGCTCGTCATCCTAGGCCACATCTTGCCCAAGCACGGCGTATTACCTGACCCAGCAAAACTTCGAGCAGTCGCAGAATTTCCCAAGCCGACGACCATGAAAGAACTTCGCAGTTTTGTAGGCCTATGCTCCTATTTCCGGCGCTTTGTTCGCAATTTCGCATCTATCATGTCACCGTTAACCCAGCTTCTTCGCGGTGACGTGAACCTCTCCTCCTGGTCCCCTGCATGTGACGTTGCCTTCACTACTCTGCGCCGTCTGCTCACTTCCCCACCTATTCTTCGCCACTTCGACCCGACGGCTCCTACCGAAGTGCACACCGACGCCAGCGGCGTCGGGCTAGGCGCGGTCCTCGCTCAACGAAAGCCCGGCTATTCAGAATACGTTGTAGCCTACGTTAGCCGCACTCTGACGAAAGCCGAAACTAATTACAGCATGACAAAAACAGAGTGTTTGGCTCTGGTGTGGGCGCTTGGAAAGTTCCGGCCGTACTTATACGGCCGCCCGTTCGATCTAGTAACTGATCACCACGCGCTTTGCTGGCTCTCCACGTTGAAAGACCCTTCTGGCCGCCTTGCGCGATGGGCACTCCTCATCCAGGAGTACGACATTCGCGTCGTATACCGCTGCGGACGCAAACACTCTGACGCTGATGCACTGTCCCGCTCACCTTTACCACCAGATCAGACGTGCGGAAACACTTGCCTCCAGACCTTGTCATCGCTAAATCTCGACTAGATTGCCACCGAACAACGTCGTGACCCGTGGATCGCCTCTCTTATCGAATATTTATCTGGCACGCCCAACCTTCCAGTAACTCGATCCCTCCGACGTCAAGCTTTCCATTTCGCCATCCGCGATCAACTTCTTCATCGACGCAACTACGCTCCCGATGGTCGCCGGTGGCTGCTGGTCATTCCACGCACTTTACGATCGCAAGTATGCGCCTCTCTTTACGACGATCCGCAATGCGGCCACGCCGGAGTGTTCAAAACATATGAACACCTTCGCCATCGCTATTACTGGCGCGGCATGTACAATTTTGTACGCGAATTCGTGCAGTGCTGTCCTGACTGCCAGCGACGCAAATCAACACTGCCACGTGCGACTGGCGAATTGCAGCCACTTCCATGCCCTGCCAAGCCATTTTATCGCGTCGGCGTTGACCTCTACAGTCCCCTTCCATTGACACCAGATGGTAATCGGTGGATTATAGTGGCAGTTGACCACCTGACATGCTACGCCGAAACAGCCGCTTTGCCGAGCGCTACAGCTCAGGATGTCGCATCTTTCATTTTACAACGCTTTATCCTTCGACATGGTGCACCTCGAGAGCCCCTTAGTGACAGAGGCCGCGCTTTCCTCTGCAAGGTCGTCGAAACTCTGCTTTCGGAATTCCACGTC